GGTGTGCAGCCGCGACACGGCCTTCAACCCTGGAAAGCGGCTCCTCCTTTGCGTTACCCGGGCTATCGGTGATGCCTACGAAGGGAGGAAGTTGCAGCTCAAGAATGCCGATCGGGTTCACGCAGGTTTCAGCCTCGCAGCGGTTGTTAAGGGCGAAGGGTCTGCCGGCTCTTCCTTTTCATTGGCTAACGTCCTCTCGCGATGCACGGTGAGACAACCGCGGAAGGGGCGGCTGGCGAGTGACGAAAGCCTCGGAGAGTGCGAATCTCCTCCGCCACCCGGAACTACAAGATTGCAGCCCCACGCTTGTGGGCTAACGACCGGAGGCATGAGCGCTAAGGACGTTGGGAATTGTAGTTTTCCTTGTGCGCAGGCTGCGCGTCCGCACTCGCTGTGCTCCCTCGAAAGGAGCCCGGTCTTGCTCCTGGGCGACCATGGGGCTTCGTTTCCTTTGCGTTTAATGGTTTCTAAAGTTGAAGCGTAGCTCACCACAGTGCACTGTAACTACGTAGCTCACACCAATCACACCGCCCCACACCAGATGGAGAACATTCTTACCGCGTCAGTCTTCCCTCCTGATTTCCTGCAACGCATGGAGTCTTTAGAGCTTGCTCACACGAAGGATTCATATCGTGGGAATGGTCGCTGTACCCTTGAGTCTTTCCCCCTTAATAAATGTGCACAGTGCTGCTAAGTGTACGAAGTGTTATTTTATACACGAGTGTTAGTTACCGAGGGGGACCCCCTTTTTTTTTTCTGGGTGTTACGTTCCCTGGGGAACCCCGGAAGGCTCATCATGGGCTCCTTGCGGTCCCGTAATGGATGAAACTCCCTGCCACTGAGGAAATGCAGGGTTGAGGGAGTTTTCAGTGCCAGTCCCGAGTCGAATGCCAGCCCCGGGGAGGGTGCTGACGTGAGTGGGAAACGAAAAGCCTCATTGTCGACAGGGCTCTAGGTTCTAGAATCCGGGAGCTGCCGGGCGTCGGCGCGCGGCAGTCCCCTGCGGCTAGGGGGCGCTCGGGTTCCCACCTGGCCGGCGGGTCCACTGAAGACGCTCTATCCGAAGCGCCGCTCTCGATGAGCCGCGCCCTGCGTCCCCACGCCGAGGCGGCGGGGCGATGCGCTTGCGTACTGAGGTCTCACACCATATGTGCCCTGTCCCAGTGCGCGGGTCTGTGGAGAGCCGGGTGCGAGAGGCGGCGGCGCGAG